GCGCCCCGTGTCCCCGCGCTGCTCCCTGCGCCTGACGCACTGCATCGAGGAGGCCAACGTGGGCCGGGGCTACATCAAGGAGCTGTGCTTCAGCCCCGACGGCCGCATGATCTCGTCCCCGCACGGCTTCGGCATCCGCCTGCTGGGCTTCGACGCGCAGTGCAGCGAGCTGGTGGACTGCCTGCCGCGGGAGGCCAGCCCGCTGCGCGAGATCCGCTCGCTCTACTCCCACAACGACGTGGTGCTCACCACCAAGTTCTCCCCCACGCACTGTCAGATCGCCTCGGGGTGCCTTAGCGGACGCGTCTCCCTCTACCAGCCAAAGTTCTAGGCACGGCAGCGGCCCCTGCGGATGGACGTTGCTGGGTTTCACGTGAGCCCCGTGGAAGTGTGCTCTCTCCAAACCTCCAGTCCGAGGAGGTGGCGGCTGCCGCGGTCCCGGGACGTGCCGTGCAAGGATTTATTAGGCCAGCAGCATACGGATCTTGGTCCTGCCTCCGTGAGCCCGTGGCCCAGCCCGCCAGCAGACCGCTGCTGCTCCTGCTGATCCTGTGCCATCGGGCTGCTGTCCTGCTGTGTTTGTACCCTGATACTTGATTGTTTCCTTCAGCGCGGCTCCCATGGGCTGCTCGGAGCAGCACGGAGGGGCAGGGTGCCCAGGGACCTCCTGTCCCAGAGGAGCTGGACTGCCTCACCTCTGCTTCCTCTTCTGTCACTGAAGCAACTCTGTGGTGATCAGTAGATAACGGCCTGCTTGTCTACATAAGCAACACGGTTAGTTACTCTAACCAAAAAAAAAAGAAAAGAAAAAGGAATTTTGCTTTCATTTCTATGTTAATGTGGTTGTCATTGGCTAGAAGAATAAGTCCTGGTGTGGCTTAGGCTGGCAGGGGCCACTGGAGGCCCCCAGGCCACCCCTGCACGGGCAGGCTCCCCTCGAGCCCACCCCTCAGCACTAGGGAGGACCCTGGCCCAGGGCATCTCTGGGTTCGTGCAGCAGGACAGCTCTGTCCCCTCCTCTGCCAGGCGTCTGTTGCAGGGGGCTGGTCACATCATCCCACATCTGAATCATGCTGGCTTTTCGCTGATGTTTGGGTATTTCCCACCTGCCTGTTTTTCCACACACACTTGGCCTGCACTCTGGCTGTGGAGAAATTAATTTGGATGTGTCCCTAGTATTGCCAGGTGAGCCTTTCTTCACATGTGCTGTCAGCTTGGGAGGACATTAAAAGCAAACCTGTCAACAGTGGGATCTACCTGGCTCTAACCAGGCTTATCATCAGGTGTGGAACACTGTAGTGCTCACTCTGAGAGGGGCTGGAGGGGAAGCTGTGTGAGGAGCAGCAGAGATCTTTGGAGCTGGGAGGAGTCTGAGATGAGATCTCATGGTGCTCTTGAACATCCTCCTGTGGGGCAGTGGAGGGGCAACTCTGGTCTCTTCACTGCCGTGACTGCAGCCAGGGCAGGGCTGGGCTGGGCCAGGGCAGCTCAGGCTGGAGGGCAGGAAAGGCTCTTCCCAGAGGTGCTGGCACTGCCCAGGCTCCCCAGGGCATGGGCACGGCCCCGAGGCTGCCAGAGCTGCAGGAGAGCTCCAGGGATGCCCGGGGGGATCTGGGGGTCTGTGCAGGCCAGGGGTGGGACTGGCTGATCCTGTGGGTCCCTCCAGCTCAGGGGATTCTGTGATTGTGTGGTCACACCCAGAGTATGAATGCCAGACTTCAGCCCTAGAGTTAATAGAGCTAACCTTGTAAATGCACAGGTATTGTGCATCCATATCAGTTGATAATGTTCTCATCACTTACATGTTCCAAGATGAGGGTTTTTTAATATTTCACTGCAGTTTTGCAGACTAGTCACACTCTCAGTTCAGCAGGGAACTTTACCTGAAAGGACTGTCACCTGCTGATGTTCAGGTACACTCTCTCTGGCTCAGCGGAGCACACTTGTTCAAAGCTGACTCTTACAAAGCCTTTTGCAAAATGTGTTTGGGGATAAAGACAACATTTATGGACCTGAGAGAGCTGGAAAGGTAAGCCTGAGGACCCTCCTGTAGCTTTGTGTTTATGTGGGTAGTATACCCTGGTGTGGGTGCAGATGTCATTGAAACTTAAACCTCCTCTGCATTATGAGAGAAGAAAATCCCAAGTTTCCTCTTTTGGAGAATTTCTTTGTTAAATGAAGCCTTCAATTTCGTGTGTTAGGTACTGTGGGGACTAACACCCCTTCTGCTGGCCTGAGCCTGCACATTGGGCAGGTGGGTCTGCCGGGCTGTGAAAGCACTCAGTGCTTCCCTTGGCTGTGGCTCAACGCCCTGGGAGTGAAGCGTGCAGGAAACTTGGGGACAAGAATGGGATACAGGATTTTTATGCAAAGGAAGAGCTACCAGGAGTTTGTGTGGGCCAGGCTGTTTGGGGAAAAAAAGCCCAGGTCCTGCCCAGGACTACAGCAGCTTTCCCCCAAGCATTTGCTGTCCCACTGCCAGGCTGCTGTTTTCTCACCTTATTTAATGTTTTATTACACATCATGGAAGGGACTGCAGGGACACTTGAGAGAACCTTGGCGTTCTCACGGGCTTGCACAGTGTTTGTTTTGGAGGTGAAGGAGCACCCACAGGACCGAGGTGGTTCTTGGGTGGATCTGTCTGTTTCCAAGGCTGTTCTTGTTTTTGCTGTCAGAACCTCCTCAGACTGGTGGATCCCTAGTGACTGTAACGCTATGCCTGTGAATATGCACTGAGTGTTACCTTTTTAATTCTACCTCATGATACGCTGTGTTTTACACCAGTATTGTGCTGAGCTTTGGACACTCACTTTGTGTAGAGGACCATTACCCCAAAGTGAGAGGTGTGTGACAGGTGTGTCACCGCTCCTCCATAGCACCTGTGGCTGGCTGGCAGGCCCTGCCTGGCTCCCTGGCAGCTCACCTGGTGGAGGGGTTTGGTCACCTTGATGCTTTTGTAGTGTGTCCAGCAGATGCATAAAATGACAGAATCAGTACCTGTATGCTGTAGAAACATTACTTAGTTTTTCTGATGACATTTGTAATAAGTTTGAGTTAGAGTAAGTAGGTAGTCTTAGATTTTGGTCATTCGACTGATTACTCCTTTTCAACAAACTTGGAAGTTTTCCATGAAGGCTTTACGGTATTTTACCTGTGAAGTTCACTTCTCAGTGGCTTACAGCTGACATGCCTCACGGTCATGTGGTGGTGCAAGTGTTTTCAGTTCTCAGTAGCATTACTGAAACAATGAATTTATGTGTTGGTGAGCTTCAGGTTATTTCTAGGTAGTCAAACAAAAAAAAAGTTTATCTTCTAGTTGTGTTTCAAAAGTTGAATGCTCGACCTCGAGAAGTGTATAAAACTGTGAAACAACTGTAAGGGAACATTTCCAAGGGAGATGGATTGCGCTGACAGAGGGGTGGCTCACACCAGGGGTGTCTGACCTGGTGTGGCAGCACTGGATAAATTCCACAGCATTTCTCGCTTGTGGCACAACCACGGAGCCCCGTGGGGACGTGGCGGCGGCTGCGGGAGCCGGGGCGGTGTCGAGGCTGGTTCTGCTGTCCCAGGGCGGTGTCAGGGCTGGTTCTGTTCTGTCCCTGGGTCCCAGGGCAGTGTCGGGGCTGGTTCTGCTCTGTCCCCGGGTCCCAGGGCAGTGTCGGGGCTGGTTCTGCTCTGTCCCCGGGTCCCAGGGCAGTGTTGGGGCTGGTTCTGCTCTGTCCCCGGGTCCCAGGGCAGTGTCGGGGCTGGTTCTGCTGTCCCAGGGCAGTGTCAGGGCTGGTTCTGCTCTGTCCCTGGGTCCCAGGGCAGTGTCGGGGCTGGTTCTGCTCTGTCCCCGGGTCCCAGGGCAGTATCAGGGCTGGTTCTCCTGTCCCAGCCCGGCTGTGCTGTGCCGTGCCCGGGCTGGCACCATGCGGGGCTGCTGCTCCCAGGTCACACAGGGCCGGCACTGTTGCACCATGGGGATAGAGGAAAAGCACAGCGGTGCCCACACACACACAGGATTGTTTGCACTCGTGGAGTCTTGGGGTAAGGACAGCTCGATGCCTACTACCAGAATTAGAATGTAAACATCAGTTTTTGCGGGGAGGGGGGAACGGGTCTTGGTTAAGTTAGTGGGGTTTGTTTCTGTTTGTGTTGTGATTTTTATTTGGGTAGCACTGATGTGGAGAAGGTTCTGACATCGTAATACATGGGTCTGTTGCTCTAGGACATATAAACTCCTAGAAAAAAAATAAATACACTTGCCAAATGAAAGCTTTCGAAAAATGCAGTTTACAAGATTGTAAGAATTTGGAGAGAAAGGAAGAACTCAACGACCCATCATGTTTTTAGCCTGCAGGAAACAGAAACTTCTCATTGGCTGATCATAGTTAAAGGTGCATTTTCTAAAGCACTAAATATCCTCAGTTAAGTATAAGGTTTTTAATACAGAAACAAATTGTGCATGTAGAGTATTTTGAAATACCTGAGATTTCATAGTAAAAACTGTAGCCTTTTAATACCGTATATGAAGTATCGGAACTGCTTTGAAAGTATTGTACTTACAGCCGTACAGTAACTTACTATTTGTGGACAGTTTCTCTTGCTTGCATAATAAACATTTAATAATTCACTGAATTGAAGTGTACTTTATTTATGTTAAAATGAGCCATGCTGGCTCTTGCCTGCCCCCAAAAATTAAGAGGAAAAACACTTCCAAGTGTTTAGATGCTGGCATTCGCAAGTGTGTGTGTCACAGCAGTGCTTTTACGTTAAGTTTTTCTGAAAGTGACATATGAAGAGTCAAAATTGACTCTGAACTTCACACCCAGGGCTCCACTATTTCATTTTTGCTGGGCACTGACCAGCTCTGAGCTTGTGCCAAACCCTTGACACTTTGGTTTCCCTGATGTTACAGGAGCACATAACATCTTCCACAGAGAAACACGATGCAGATTTTTTTTTATTCCATCAAGGAGAGATTACAAAAAAAAAAAGGTACACCAGTAAAAATCAGATTCTGCCAGTAACAAACATCCAGTAAACATTTTATTTAGATGGAGATAATCACCACTGGGATACAGGAACTCGTGCTTGTGCCCACCCACTGCTGTCTGTGAAGCTCAGGACTGTATGATTACAACACACTGATTAGGATCAATTTCGGAAGACAGTTTTAGCAAATGGAAAACCCAAATTCAGAAAAGCAATAGCCCCTCCAAAACTTAAGACTAAATTCAAAGCAGTTTCTGAAAGCTTTTCTGCTCCCCATCATCCGAAGAGTTTTGGTTTATATGTGAATGTATAGTTTAATTAAAGAGGAAGCCCTCAGGGAGAATCAAACACTTTTTGTCGGGACCCTCATCCAGCTCAGGGTTGTGCTCGCTCTTCTGCCCCTGCAGCTAAAGCCTCGAGTCTCTCTCTCTGCTCTCTGTGAGACACAGGTTTCCCTCAGTCCTTTCCAATGCCTGCCCACACAAGTCCTGAAACACATCTCCAAGCACCCCACCTTTCCTGCCTCCCTGCCTCCGAGGTCATCTTTGGCTTTTCATCTCCACTGTACCTACAGACCTCCACTGGAGCAGGTAACCCAGGACTCTCACCTTGCCCGTGCCACTCCGTGTTGCAGAACCATGAACAAACACACCAAGCAGGCAGAACCCCGAGTTTTGGGTACAAATGTCTCGTGATTGATAATTCCACAGAGGGAGCAGAGAAAAGAGAAGACGTGGCAGTGCAAAAAGCCGTGTGTGAAGTGCTTGAGCAGCTGCAGGAGCTGGAGTGTCCCGTGAGCCTTAAAGACAGGGACAACCTCCCTGATCCTGTAGCTGGAGGCAACAGAAAAAGCAGCAATTAAAAAATAAAAAGTCCTCAGAAAAAGCAGAACAAACTCCATGTTTTTTAACGAGGAAGGACACTTTAAAGCTTCAGTGAGTTTGCTGTCCCATTCCTTCCCCGTTTCCCTTTTCCCAGGAAGGCACACGTACAAACACGCACACGTACACACACGAGATCCAGCCTGGGCCGAGGTGGGTGCCGCGGCTGGAGGACACGGTCACCGCAGCCGCACAGCGGCGGCTGCAGCAGGCTGAGGCGCAGCCAGGAGCTCTGCACCTCATCATCCCCTTCTGTACCTGTCCTTTGAACTTTGCACGATGAGAACCCCACAACACCTGAAAATGCAGTTCCATAATCGAGGCTGGGAAGATGATCAGGCAATGGAATTGTTTTTCTTCAGCTCCTCCTTGATTCTCATGTTCAAAACATGGGCAGCGGAGTGCCCCATCACAGAGCACAATGCAATTTTGGGAGTGATACAGCCTACTTTCCTTTCCTCTTTTACACCTTGTACTTGCCTGGTAGCTCTGTTATGGGTAAACTCACCTGCCAGCAAAGGAATACTCTAAGAAGTTCATCATAATTGCACCAAGGTTTAAATGTATCACCATTCACCCCATAAATACGGAAGGCTGGGAAGAGTTACCTGCCACAGGCACAGGCACTGCTCCCCGGGACACTGAGAGTGCTGGCAGCCCACGAGCAGGACGGGGTCACAGCAGCTTCAGCAGGAACTCATAGGTGGCGTTGATGATCCCCCAGGACAGCACCGAGCGGTGGTAGTTGAGGTGGGCTCCTCGGAACAGGTGGATCACCTTCCTGTCGCGTTCCAGCCAGATCTTCGCCAGCACTTTGGGGAAGGACTGAAACTCGCCGCCGATCTGCGCCTGCATGCGAGTCTTTACGACGTTGATAGGGAAGAATAAGAAGCCCAGCACGGCGCCCAGCAGCCCGCCACAGATGAAGTCGTTGACCAGGTGCGAGCTGTGCGAGGTGGCCTCGGGCAGGCACTGCTTGATGGGCCCCCGCAGGCCGAAGAAGAGCACGTTGCTGGGCCCGTTGCGGAGCAGAATGGGCACCAGTCCCCGGTAATACTCCCGCACCCCGTAGGCCTTCAGCACCTTGAACGCCTGGTAGGTATTTGTGAACTTGTCGTGGTGCCTGTGGTCCTGCAGCAGCGTCTGCACGCGCTCGAAGGGCGTGAGCATGGCCTCGGTGGTGCCGGCCAGCGCGGCCGCCACGCTGCGCGTCAGCAGCTCGGGGCCGCGGGCCTCGCTGAGCAGCAGCGCCGAGAAATCCTCGTAGAGGCCGAACATGAGGGCCAGAGTGGTGGTCTTCTGCAGCAGCGGGGGCAGGATGCCGCGGTAGAGCGTGCGCAGCCCGTCGCGGCGCAGCTGGCGCACGGCATCGCGCGCGCGCAGCCCGTGCAGCTGCTGCCGGAACAGCACCTTCTGGATGGGGAAGGTCACCGCGATGTTGGTGAAGGCGGCGCACAGCCCGCACACGTAGTGCTTGCCCGAGGAGCCCGCCGCCTCCTCGGGGGCGGCCGGGGCCATGGTGGAGCCGCTGCAGCTCGGCCCTACCGCGTCACCCCGCCGGCGCAGGGGCGGCGGCAGCGCCCGCCGGGCCCCGCGGCGCCCCTGCCATCCCTGCTCACGCCAGGCCGCCCCAACACTCAGCACGCCCTCCCTCCCGCTCTGCTGGGATTGAAATGGAAATAAATCACAGGTTCCAACAGCCAGAGGCGGGCCCTCACGCTGATAAAACGCTGTGTGAGCAAACTAAAGAGAGGCTGCCACAAAACCTGTAAAAAGCCAAAGCTGAATCAAACGCGTGCAGCAGCATCACAAAGCCTGATCCTTGCACTCTGCCTCTCCCTGCGGCACAAACCACACTTTGTGCGGCTGCACTCGGCCCGCAGCTGAGCACCTGCAGCCACAAGGGATGCACAGATGGCACACTGGGGTGGCTTCAGTGACACGGTGCAGGAACCCTGCACAAGTCCCAGCTCACTGCCACGCAGCCTCCTCTGCAGCAGCCCCCACGCCCGGCGTCCACTCCTGCTGAGAAGCTTCACAAGGCGAATTCAGCCAGGCCCAGCGTCCTGAAGGATGTGGAACTGAGGCAGCTTGACCAGCTGGTGTGAGCAGGACTGCAGGGATTGTTACCTGGCAAACCCTGTTGGACAGAAAAATGGGATGATTTCTGTAATCCCATGAGAAGATGCTCCTGCAGGTGCCCAAATCCCACCCTCGATCCCCACCCAGCCGGAGGAAGGTTGGTGACAGCTGACCAGTGTGTGGGCGAGACTGTGGGAGCTCCTGAGCCTCGGATCCCGCCCGGCACCTGCAGCGGTGTCTGGGACAACAGCCCTGCCTGGACGAGGAGGGCAGCGAGAAAGGGGGAAGGAAAGGGGGAGGATGGGCGAGAGAGAAAGGAGCAGGGAGAAACGGAGGAGAAAAGGGAGGGGAGGAAAGGGCTGGGGGGAGAAAGGCAGGGAAGGGACAGAGCCGTTTGCTCTCCCGTTGGCTCTCGGGGTCCCGCGGCCTCTGAGCGGTGTCTCCGTGCCCCGGGGGCCGCAGCCGGGGCCCGAGATGCTCCCGGCTTTGGGGCCTGCCCGCTCGGGGCCGCGGCACCGGAGCCCTGCACCGGCCCCGCAGCGCCGCCCCGGCGCGGCCCGGCGGGTCCCGGCTCCGCCGCGGGCCCAAGGTCAGCCCGGCGGCGGCGGCGGCGCACCGGGCCCGGGAGCCGCGGCTGCCGCTGCCCGGCGCGTGCGCGGAGCCCGCGGCGGGGGCGCTGCGGGGCGGCACCGGAGCGGAGCGCACAGGGAGGGCACCGGGAGCGCACCGGTACCGGGATGGTAGCGGGATAGCACCGGGAGCGCACCGGGATGGTACCGGGGTCGCACAGGAGCTCACCGGGATGGGACCGGGGTCGCACAGGAGCGTACCGGGATGGTACCGGGATGGTACCGGGATGTACCGGGAGCTCACCGGGACCGCTCCGGCCGCGGGACCGCCGCCCCACGAGCGCCCGGCCCGGCGCGGCCCCGCGCCGCGCTCTGACGTCACCGCGCCGACGTGTGACGTCACCGCGCGCCGCGCGGGGCGGGAGACCCGGCGGCGTTAGCCGTCCGCGCGGCGCGGGCCACGCCCCCGCTCACGCCCGCCAATCAGACGGCGAGGTTGGTCAGGCCACGCCTCCGGGGCGGGGCGGAGGCGAGTGAGTGACGGCGGGAGCGCGGGAGGGAGCGGGGCGGACCCGGGAGAGACCAGGGAGAAACCCGGGACAGAACCGGGACAGAGCCGGGAGGGACCCGGGACAGAGCCGGGAGGGACCCGGGAGAAACCCGGGAGAGAGCCGGGAGAGACCAGGGAGAGACCCGGGACAGAGCCAGGAGGGACCCGGGACAGAGCCAGGAGGGACCCGGGACAGAGCCGGGAGAGACCCGGGACAGAGCCGGGACAGACACGGGACAGCTCCGGGCCGGGCCAGCTGGGCTCCGCCCGAGTCGTGCCGTGCCGGTCCCCGCTCCCGCAGCCGGGAGGCGCCGGCGGGGTCCGTGCCGGTGCGGGGCCGGTGCGGTGCTGGCACCGGGTACTGCTCACGGCCGCGTTTGTTCCGTGCTCACCGTGCCCAGGGCTGCGCAGTCAGCCCGGCACCGCATGGCCCGGGGCTCTGTGTCCCGCCGGTTCTCCCTCCGGTGCCCTGCCCTGCCGTGCCGAGCCGTGCCGTGCCGGGCTTGCGGCGGTGCGGAGCGTGGTCCGCACCACGGAGCCCCGTCCCAGCCGGGGCAGCGGCGGGCGCCGGGCCAGCCCTGGGCGCGTTCCGCCCGGCCGTGCCCGTGCCGGGGGTCCCGGCGGGCCGGAGCGGGTCTCGGCCGGCCCCGGAGCCCTGAGCCCGTGGGAGCGCGGCGGTCTGCCCGGCACGGCCCCGCAGCTCCGGTGGGACAGCAGCGCCAGAACGGCTCCGGCGGCCCTGCCGCCCGCGGCAGTGGGGCAACGGGCCGGGGTCTGCGTGGGCAGAGAGCTGAGCTGTGCGTGGGCACAGTGGGCAGAGAGCTCAGCTTTGCATGGGCGGTGCTCAGCTGTGCGTGGGCACAGAGCTCAGCTGTGCGTGGGCAGAGTGGGCACGGTGCTCAGCTGTGCGTGGGCACAGTGGGCACGGTGCTGAGCTCTGCGTGGGCAGAGAGCTGAGCTCTGCGTGGGCAGAGTGGACACAGTGCTCAGCTCTGCGTGGGCACAGTGGCGGTGGCTCAGCTGTGCGTGGGCAGGCGCGAATCCAGGTGGGCTCTCACGTCCTGTGACCCCTTCGCCCGTGCTGCCGGCCGGGCAGGCTCCGAGGAGGGGACACAGCCTCAGGCCGTGCTGGGGAGGGAATCAGTTTTGTCTCCAGGGATCAGGCTTGGGAATGCGCTGCCAGAGGGGTGCTGCAGTTACTGTCCCGGAGCTGTCTGGGGACAGCGGAACGTGGCATGTGAGCTTGCAGACCCCGAGCTGGGCAGCTCCCTGGGGGCTGCCCTGGCAGGGGAAACCCTCCTGGAGCAGGTCTGTGTCAGGAAAAGCAGATGCACAGGACTTTTACTGTCTTCAGGTTCTTGTTTTATTGTTATCTTATCACAACTTCAGCACAGTCTGTGCCCAGACCTTGCATGCGTGAAAACAGCACAAAAATGGCCAACGGCTGCAAGGTTTTTTAAGTCTAATCAAAAACTAAACTACCCAGTTAACAAGTGACACCTAGATTATTTCCCTTTCTAACCCAATAACGGACCCCTAAAAACCCACAATGCGGATTTTTATTTTCCTTTCTAACCCAATAACTGACCCCTAAAGACCCACAATGCAGATTTTTCTACCCAATTACAAGATACCACCCAAACCCAAGAAGAAAGAGGAAGAGGAAGAGAGAAGAAATTTGAGACAACAGCATATATCCTCCATCTTGTATCTATCAACAGTATGCTAAAAATCCTAAAACCTAAATTTCTCACCCATGTGACATACTCCACTACTCTCTACAGTCTATTTCACACTTTTGTGGTTTCTAGTTGACTTTGAGGCTTAGGAGGCCTTCTCCATGAATGAGGGTCAGAGTCAGAGCTGCCCTGGGAGTCAGAGCAGCCAGGGCAGACAGGAGATATTCCCCTGCCCGGGGTTCCCACGGTGGCACGCTGTGCTCTGTTCTGGCTGGCTGGTGACCACTGCTCAAAGCCTGGGCTCCGTGACCTCAGGGCTCTTTTACCCTGTCAGTGGCTCTGTGACTGTGTGACCTTGTCCTCACCTGCAGAGGTGCTCCAGGAGGTCGCTGCATTGCTGCTGCAGCTGCGGCGGCTCCCAGCCAGCCTGGGCTGCTGCCGTGCAGGGCTGCCGGGAGCACAGCCAGCCTGGCACGGGGCAATGGGGCTGGAGAGACTGGACAGAGGGTCCTGGCAGCCCTGCCTGGCCTCCCAAACCAGCAGCACGCCGGACCTGGAGCCCTGCAGGACAGTGCCCGTCCCTGCTTGGGGCTGCAGGGGCTGGTGCTGCTGAGCGTGGCAGCCTGAGCTGGAGCGGCTGCCTGGGGCGCAGGGGGCATGGTGAGCTGCTGCTGGTGGGGCAGGGCAGGCTGGGGCCAGCGCTGGCCAGCAGCGACCAGCACTGCCCCAGAGGTGGCCCTGCCGCCCCACTGCTGCCCTGTGCCCCGGGGAAGCCCACGGGGACAGCGGGTGACAGAGCAGCCAGCTGCACGCCCCGGCACGCACCTGGGGCCAGAGCTGCAGCAGGACAGGCGGCCAGGCTTTGGGCAGCTGCCCCAGCGCTGCATCCCCTGGCAGTGCATCCCTTCCCTTCCTCCCGAGGGCCGTGGGGCTGGGAGGCAGCGCCTGCAGGGGCTGACCCACGCTGGGCACCGCCGGCAGCGCAGACACGGAGCACAAAGGGCTGTGAGCCCTCCAGCCCCTGCCCGCTGCTCCCCAGCCCCTCTCCCGTGGCTGAGCAGCCCAGATGAAGGGCAGGTTGCTGGCTGTGGGATTCCTTAAAATCAGAGGGGTTTGGGCACGCTGCAAAAGGCCTCCAAGACAGCAGGATGGTGATGAGAGCTCAGCAGTAGCCATAAGATTTGTCAGCATAAAAATATACAAGAAGTAGAAAGAAAGGACAAATAGAGCAATGGTCTGTGTGTTAACACTGGGGTAGAATAACTCCCTAAGGTGCAGAAAAGTATCTCTGGTGAGATATTAGGAAGGTCTAAGCTTAATAATGGAGCTCTGTGCATTGTATCTTAAGGCTTACAAGCAGGTATTGTATTGGAAATAAGCGAGCATTGCTTTAACCAAAGGTATGTGTGCTTATACAGGTTGGATAGAACTAGTGCCAGTGTGCTTTTGCTTTGTGTGACTGGTCATAAAGCTTTTAAAGTAAGCTGTAACATTAAGTTCTTGTTCTGCTGCTGGGATGTGAGCTGCTGGCACCTTCCCATTGTCATAACCTTGGAATGAGAGTGATGCTGGAAAATGAACAGCTGGGGACGCGTTCCTCAGCAGTCCCGTGCAGTTTGTGGTTTGTACAGTCCCCCGGATGGCAGCAGCTGGTGGCTGCCCAGTCTCTGGTGGACCTGGAGCCACTCAGCTGGGTCCACTGGAGCCTCTGAAAGCCCAGCTGCAGAGGCTGGGCTGCACTGTCCACCCTGGCCATGCCCCTCACCTGGCTGGTGCCTGTTCAGTCAGGGCTCAGAGAGCAGAGGTCTGGCTGGGGAACGCCTGGACACTGCCCTGAGGCTTTCCCTCAGCATCAGCTCAGCCTGCAGCTGCCCAAGCTCTCAAATCTGCCGTTGCCAGACAGACCTGCCCAGAGCAGGACTGTCCCAGGGCTGGGGAGCCCAGGCTTTGGACTCCTTTTCCGTTCCATGACCCAAAGACTGCAGACAGAATTTCTGGAGCTGGGGAGGGAGGCAGCGTTCCCTGCCCAGCTGTCAGTGGGAGCTCACTGGGCTGGAATTGCCAGCTGAGTAGGAGGTAGGAGTGCACATCAGCAGCAATCAGTGGTGGTGAGTGGTGGGCTCACTGCAGCCTGAGTGGGAGCAGGGCCGAGCCAAATGAAGCACACATGGGGAATGGGCAAATAAAAAGAGGTGTAATTTAATTACCTTCTGATCTCTGCTATTTGTCAGAGTGGGCTAGGCAAAGGCAATTTGTAATTATTTCCTAACACTTTAAGATGTGGATTTAAGACGTGATTTTGTTTGTCTGGAAAATATTGAACACCTCTGCTGTGTAAATATTTAACTGCTGTCTTTGAGGAAGCTGAGCAGTGCTGGTGAGTCCAGCTGGGCAGCCCAGAGGCTGCAGGTGCACAGGGCTGCAGAAGGGAGAGCTGTTCCATTTGGTCACAGCCTGCAGCCCCAGGCCCTCGTGCTGGGCAAGGACATCCTCCAGTTCTTGTGCCTGTCCTCGGGCAGCCTCACCTCATGTCGATTTCTCTGTCAGGGCTCCTAGGTCAGGGTGATCCCAAGAGATCACAAAGAGTCTTTGCTTCCCTAATCCGAACACAGACAAATGAAGGAGCCTGGAATGCTTCTGACTGTGCTTTCAAGGTTGTTTATTTCTCCTTATCTAAACATTCTTTCTCTGACCTGCCCAGCTCTGGCTAGCAAGGAGGCCATGGCAGTCTGCCCTGAGCCCTGGGCAGCTCCCACCTTATATACTCGAAACTATGTGTGTAAGTTTACAATTTATTACCAATTCCCATTACCCATGTTAGACTGTGAATCTCTGCCTTGAACCAATAGAAAAGTGCCACCATCACACCAAGACATGGAGGAGAAGACAAAGAAGAAGAAGGCCAGGGCATGCCCAAATTCCTCCATCTTGTACCCCCTTGAACCCCATTCTAAAAATCCCAAAATTCTACTTTTCCACCCTGTGTTAATTCAAATATCACACTACTCAAACCCTTGTGGCTTGTAATTCCTCATACAGAGTTGGCAGTTTTCTCCACGGGCTAAAATCAAAGGCACAGGTGTTTTTTATTTCATGCCAGGGTCTCTGAGCCCCTGCCAGGGTCTGCAGCCAGCAGGGCAGCCAGAGGGATGTGCTGGGCTCCGACACACCAGGGTCCTCCTCCAGGGCCGTACTCTGGAGCAGGGGCTGGGTGTTCAGTGGATTTTTCTTTTGGTTAGAAACTTGACCTCGACTCTTCTCTCCCGAGAGTGGAGTGATGCAGAAAGCCTTGGTGCAGGGTGTGAGGGAGGACACAGTGAGATTCAGAGAGCAAAAGGAGGTCAGGACATGAGGGCCCCCAGATTAGTAATGATGCTCTGGTCTTGCAGACGCCCAGAGCAGGAAAGTCAGGTGGGTGAAGCAGAGAGCACTCTGAGCACCTCAGTCCCACAGCTGCTCAATCAGGACTCCAGACCTGGCTCCCTTCTGTTGGAACTCAGAATGTCTCTCAGACATTTTTAGAGGTTCCAGGCCTTGGTCAGAAGCATTTTAGACCCTGACAGGCAGCTGGAAACAGCTTTGATTTTGAGTTTGAGCCATGGAATGAGTTACCAACTTTGGAGGTGGAACAAGCAGTCACAAAAGTTTAGATAGCATAGTAAAAGTAGTTACAAAACAGAGGGGAAATTTTTTTAGTATTGTACAGGGGGGTTTTTACTTTGTACATGGGGGTCAGAAGTTCTAAGATGGAGGAAAGTGGGCTGATCCTGTTCTTCCTCCTTCTTCCTTGCCTCCATGTTCTTGGTGATGTTGGCACTCACAGATTGGTTTAGAGTAAAAAAGCACTTTGTAATATAGGTAGTAGGTATTGGGTAAAAACTATAAACATGTTATACGTAATATATCATATAAAAGATAGCAGGCAGCCCTGGGCAGGGGGAGAGAAGACAGCAGACAGAGAGGATGTCAGGGTGTGTGTGTGCCTCTGCCCGGACTGCTGACCAAGCAGCCACAGCCTGAGAAGAAAATCTTTTAGATAACTAACGATAAACTGCCTTGAGACCGAACAGCAAGAGCCTGCGCAGTTTTTCTTTGGAAGCACGGGTTGGAGGAGAAATTTCACCACCATATGGGACCCTAGACCAAGCCCGGGGTTCCCACACCTTCGAGCAGCTTTTGGGCAGTCCCACTATTGACTCTCCTTTTGCACACTCGTGCTCTGCTGCCCAGAACTTGCAGTCCTTTAGAGCTGGTGCTGTGAAATCAGAGAAAGCAGAAATGCCCGTTTTCAAAGAGGACATTCAGTCTCAATTTCCCAATCGTTTCTGCTGCACCTGGGTTTTGGAACACCCTGGCATGGTGTTATGTGCCTGCCCTGCTCTGCCCCGTTTCCCCTGGAGGGTGAGCAGCCTTCCTGTGGCTGCTCTGGCCCCAGCCCGATGTGGGGCATCCCCCCTTCCCCTCCTGCCCACCGTGGGTTCTGAGCAGCCCCAGCACGGCCCCGCTCACACTGAGAGCCCATGTGAGCGAGGCCAACTTCAGCAGCACTTCACTGGCATAAAATTGCTGGGAAACAGTTGCTCTTTCCCACTGAGGCAGCTGCTGGGGTAATGTACAAGCAAGCAGGTCCATAGTGGTGCTATTTTGGATTTTGTGGTTTTTTTTCTTTTTGGTGTTCTCTGTATTCTTCACACACACATTTGTAGCTGTGTTGCCCATTGTATTAGTGACTGGCTTTCCCAGTAATTTTGCATGCCCTTTCCCTAGGCAGAAAGACAAAACAAATTCCAGAGCTCCAAGCCCCAGAAGTACAAAGCCCCTGTGCTGTCTTGGTTCTTCCTGGCTACCAAGGGTGAGAGCAGCAACTCCTGGAGATGAATTTTATGGACAAAGTGCATCCAGTGCCAAGGGAGGGCTCCAGAGAAGGGGCTTGACTGGGGGGGAAATCCATCACCACTTGTCTTCTTAATTGGTGTTTTTTTGTCAATTATGCTGATTTGCTAAACTTAGACAAACTGTATTCATCCTATGTGGATGGGCTTTTGTGGACATCTTTCCATAACTGCCCCTGGAAGCCTCCAAATAAAGATCCCCTTTTATAGTACCTCTTTACTAAAATTGTCTCCAGTTTCACTTTCAGGTTAGGGAAAAGTACAGGGAAAAAGGGAAAAGCAGTACAGGAAAAAACATAGGGAAAAGCAGTGCAGGGATTGTGCTCCTGGCAGGATCCAGCACGCCGGCCTGCCCCAGCCTGGACAAGCCACGGCAGCACCGTGCACCTGGGAATTGCTCACTTTGGAGCTGCTGTGTCAGTGGCTGTCCCTGTTGGGAGGGCCAGGGACGGACAGGGTGTGCGTGTCTGTCCAGCAGAAACCCCCATGGCAGCGGGCAGCAGCGCCCCGGCAGTCAGAACTGAGCTCATCCTCTCAGAGTCCTGCTCTGGGCTCCTCATTCCAGACACGCTGGGAGCCCGGGAAGGTGCTCAAGGCGCTGGGGCCTCACTGCTGCGAGGAACAGCAGAGGGAACAGGGCAGCTCAGCCTGGAGCAGGGAAGGCTCAGGGACACCTCGTCCATGGCTGTAAAGACCTGCAGGGAATGCCCAGGGACAGGCCCGAGGCCACGAGCTCACAGACCAGAGGAAACATCAGGGAACACTGTTTCACTGTGGATTTGTGGAGTTCCTGCAACCAGACACTCCAAGGTCACCTGCACACAGAGCTGGGCACCTGCTCTGGTGGCCCTGCCTGGAGCAGGGGGAGGGACTGGACAGAAAGACCTCTCAAGTCCCTTCCAACCTCAACCAGCCCCGCTGGTTACTTGAAGCCTGCAATTCCCACAGCAGCAATGATCCCCAGCACACAGGATGATCGTGCCACTGCTAATGACAGCTGTGAGAAGTGGTTCTTTGAGGTGTGTCAGGAGACACATAAACCCAGGAGGACGCACCAAACCCAAATCACTGTCTGAAGCAGTAACATCCCAGAGAGATGATGTCCTCTGACATTCCATGCTCCTGTTTCACACACATTTGATGGTCCTGACTCCCACAGCCCTACTAAATAAACAGCCCCCATGAGGCTGATCACCCAGGAGTGACAATTCAGAGGAACCAGACTAAAGTCTCTCCAAAGGGCTGGGAAGCCACAGCTGTTGGCCCATACTCACTGCTCTCCATGAAGGTGATACCAGCTCCAAATCACAGAACTCTCCCTCCCCCAGGAAAACAGCCTGGATAGGACAAGTGATAAAAACTGTGAACATTTTTTCAGTTGTTGAACACAGGATTACACTGACACTCCAGAGAAACGGAGAGGTGTATGAAAGTCACACTCTTTGTCTCCCTGCTTCTGACCTTGAACCCAGGAGGGGCCATGAACCAGAACCTGCCACCTCAAACTGTTCCCTTGTGCTCAACCTCAACTTCACACCCACCCAGACAATCTAGAAAAAAAAAGGTTTTATTATAGCTTTTTCTATATAAATAGAAAAAAACTAGCATTTTAAAGAGGTGACACCCTCAGCCAGGGCTCCAGCTGGGTGAGGGCTGATGCTGGACCCACACCCAGCAGATGAAGGCATCCCCATGACATTCTGAGCTGGGCTGTGTCTCCCCCAGACCCCCTGGGCTTCTCATCTCATTTTCTTGCGCTTCCGCTGTCCCTCTGGAGCCTTCTGCGTGGGCAAGGGCAGGGACAGAGTGCCCAGCTTGTGGTGCTGGTCCTTCTCCAGCCCCACCAGCCCCTTGACCTTGGACACCTTGAGCCGCAGGGCCTTGGCGATGTCCAGGATTCTGGAAAACAGGAGAAATGCCATCAGGGGGGCTCAGCCCCCCATGCACGACCCTGCAGGGCCCACAGCCCTCGGGAGGGGCCCGAGGTGTCTCAGGGCACAGGGGTGCCATGGAGGCACCAGGGCTGCAAGGCAGAGACAGGGTGCTGCTGGCTCTTCCAGCAGGTCCCAGCCTCCTCCATGCTCTTCCCTGTCACTACAGGACATGGGAAAGCACGATGTGAGCTGCTGCTATAGCAAAGGTAAAAAAGAGAAAGTTTATTTTCTGACTCCAGCATTTATAGTTTTCCAAAGGTGACAGTGGATTGGAGGGTGAAAGTGCTGCCTCTCCAACAATACTGGACAAAATACTAGTCTCTTAAATTTCTCTGCCTCTATGAAGGAATGCAAAAACAGTTTAAGTTATTTACAGAAAGTGGGTGAGAAAGTTTGCTACAAGAATGTAAACTCAGAAGGCTTTAGAAAATGTTAAAAAATCAGGGTGACATCTCCCCACAGCACCTGAGGCCCCGTGTTCCAGCTGCAGGGCAGCACAACCCAAACCTGGGCAACAACTGCCAAAGCCAACAAGGACTCCTGGAAAAGCTTACTCCCAGAAAGGAAAAGGAAAATGGACGGAAACCAACAGCAGAGTGCTCTTAAACCCACTAAACTCACCACTTCTCATCAAAGAACAGAGGGTAATGGTGGGGAAAATAAGTGGTGGCATCAAAACCAATGAGCAAGCTTGAAAACCAAGCAGTGAGCAAGGGCTTTGGTAAGACCCAGTAAGAGCTGAAGTTTGGCAGAAAGCCAAATGATCCCATGAACTCTGCAGGGCCAAGGACAGGAGCACAGCTGGAGCAGAGCTGCAGCTGCCAGGTGATTCCTGAAAATGCAGGTCCTGCACCCACAGACAAGTGCCCATCCCTCCCTGGACAGTGAAAGCCTCCCTAGGTCCAGAGACACTCCAGAGCTCTGCCAGGGTCCTCCTGCAGGAGGATCCTGGCAGGGGTGAAGGAAGAGGATGACTCACCTGCTCTCTGAGAGCTTCATGTCGTTCTGCAGGATGGTGAGATCAGTCTGGAAGTTGTTAATGTGCAAAGCCAAGGCAATGACATAGGCGGTGATTTTAGCCTTCATGGACGCGGAGATGAAATTCTGGATGCTGTGTGGCAAGAGGGAGAACTCGTGAGTGAAAGGGGCTTTCTGGTGGTGTCTGTGGCCCCTCAGGCTGAGCTCTGCCACGCCTGTGCATCTGCACGCGAGAGCATCGGACACCATCCCTTACCTGCCATTGTTGTAGGTCAGTGAGGTGAAATTCTTCATGAGCTTCTTGCTGATGATGTGTGGGCATTCAGGACCCATTGGATCTAGGGCAGAAAGGGGCTTTGCAGAGGAATGAGGAACACACACCCTACCTTGCCCTGCCCACCCATCACAGCAGCACAAGTATCATCCTGACACTTAGCAGGGAATATCAGAACACCCACAGGGAAAGGGACCCACCAGGATCACCGAGTCCAGCCCTGGGAGTCTCACCATTTATTCCTCTTCCCAGGAACACAACAAACCGAAAACTAACCTTGGTGCTTGATTTCTAGGTCTCTTATTAACTTCTCAGGCCTGAGAGAATCCCAGCAGCTTTTAATTTCTTAGTAAGAGCAGTCTCCCAGTTCCATATTGTACCATCTAAAATGCACACACTCCTATGCATGTGTTTATTTTGCCACAAAATACTGTTGAAGCTGAGACCACACTAACAAGTCCCTACTATCAGCAAGTCTAGTCGTCCCCTCATTCTCCTTAGACAAGTCCTATGGGTGACTACTGTGTCTCCAGCAATGCAGGAAGACATTTAGAGCCAGGCTTGCCACTTCCTCCTCCCTCAGCCCTGCCAAGGACTGACAAAGACACACAAGTTCTAAGGAAGATGGCAAGTCTGGAAAATCTCAACCAAAATGTTTTGTGTGCGGCTGTTTCAAAAGCAGGACCATGAGTGTGGCAGAGGTATAATCCACACAGCTGACAAGCAAAGGGATGAAGACATTCCCAAAAGTATTCGTTTATGAGCTGAAAACTCTCTTACTCTTCTTCTTGATCACTTTCTGCTGGCTGAACTTGATGAGGGTGTCCAGGAACCAGAGGCATCGGGCTTTGTGGTCCCTGCTCTTCTCATCAGTGGGCAGGAACTTCAGCTCCTCCAGGACAAAGGAGCAGAGGCTGCAGGAAAGAGGGGGAGTTCACTGCCCAGAGGGCCCCTCGCTGCTGAGCACCCAGTGTCCCCCACGCTCCCCGAGGCAGGGGCTGCCCCAGTGCCCCTCAGCCAGCATGTGGCCACTGGCAGTGGCCTCACCTTCTCTCTTCTGCCCTCTTGTCCATCTCCTCCTCGCTGATGCTGGCCAGGGTGGCTGCTGGCACCCGCAACGCCTCGTACTCGGCAGGAGACAGGACTAGCAGGATGTTAAGGAAAAGAACAAGCCTGGCCTCTCCTTTCCTCTTCCCTCCTGTGCCCTGGGAAGGGCAGCTCTGCCCACACTCACTGGACAAGGGATGGAGCGTGTCCAGGAACTGAGCCTCCAACAGAGCGTGGCACACGCACGGCTCAGCGGCATTCCTGTGGGATGCTGCCTACGGGAGGGAGGCAGGACACGGCACTGCAGCCCCCAACCCCACGGCAGCATCACCCTGCTGCCAGCTCGTGGGCTGTGAGGGGTAGAGGCCCAGCTCACCCAGCACAGCAGATGGCTCCGTGGGGAGTCACACGGCAGTGGCACAGAAGGATACTGTCCTCAAACCTGTACACGTGCTCCGGCCTGTCGGCGTCCTCGTGGCACGGCGGCAGGAAGGCAGAGATGCTCTGCACGTCGTCCTGGGCCACGTCCTGCATCAGAGCTTGGGAGGGACGGAAGCATTTGGACCATGACAGCCAAAATGCAGAGAACAGCAACACAACCCAAATCCTTCCTTCAGAAGCAAGTTCACTCAAATGGGTTAACATTGTTTTAGTCACAACTGGAGTTTTAGACATTTCTATCAAGAACCTTATGGTCATAAAAATCTAGAAATGCCAGTCCAGACTAGAGAAACATCTAGGAAAGAAGGGCACCAAGATGTGGGCAGAGCACAGTTTTGGCACCTGTGTTCTGGTGGACACCCAAAGCAGCTGTGAGAGCACAGTCAACATCCACCCTGGAACGAAAGAGGTGAAAGGTGGTGGGTCAGCAGACATCTCTTCTGTTCATGGCAGTGACACTCAGGATCCCAGAAGTGCTCTGGAGGGGTCTTGTCTGCGCCCCTGCCCAATGTCCACAGCCAGGGCAGCCCCAGCTCTCTCCTGCCACAGCTTGGAAGCCCCAGGGATGGTGCCACCACACTGTGCTGTGATGTGTCCCAAGGCTGCACCACTCTCTGAGGTAAGAAGATTTTCAACAGCCATGCCACAGAGTTCAGACCAGATAAAGGCACTGCCTGTTTGCCAGTGAACCCACATCCCACAGGAGCTCCCAAAGCAGGCAGGATGGACACTGAGGTCACAGGGACCTTCCCTCATCAGGTAACTCCAACACCAAGTCCAGCACAAGCAGAAGGAAGCAGTTCCTCTATGTACCCATCTCAGCTGTTGAAGCAACTACTTAAAGAAAACCCCTCTTACTTGCACCACACTTGGCATGGAAAAGGCACTTTTCCAGACAGAAAAAGGCATTTCAGGCTGTCCTGATTACCCCTGAGACAGAACCCCCTCACCTGTCACTCCCTTGGCATCTATCACATTTGCAGCTGCTTTTGTCACAGCTGTGCTCACGATGTCACTGCCCACAGCGTTCATGCGGCGGGAGCTCAGAGCTCGCTTCTGCTTGCTGGTCCCAAAGGCCTCGATGCACAAATCCATCTGCACAAGGTAAAACACATGCTGAAACACTCTGTGCACCCAGGGAAACCCACCTGCACAAGGCAGAAACACACACTGAAACACCCTGTGCACCCAGGGAACACAAACCCAAATCCAACACCCTGTGCACCCAGGGAACACAAACCCCAAATCCAACACCCTGTGCACCCAGGGAAATCCAACACCCTGTGCACCCAGAGAACACAAACCCCAAATCCAACACCCTGAGCACCAGGGAACACAAACCCCAAATCCAACACCCTGTGCACCCAGGGAAATCCAACACCCTGTGCACCCAGGGA